CCCCCTGCAGGTTCTTGTTTAGTACTCTCTTAGTCCTCCAGGGGTGGATTCACAAAAGCCGCATCCAAACTGCTTCCTAGATTGTCTAACGAGTGCCAGAACGTGGTGTTGTCTTCAAATGGACCCGCCAAATGGATTCCCTCTCGGGTAGCTTTGGCTTCCTGCTGCTTCCCTTCAGCCGCACAAACGCACCCACGCGACCGGGGCGCACGCACGCACAAACAACAAACAGACAAACAGACAGACAGACAAACAGACAAGCAGACAAACAAATAAATAAACAAACAAGCAAGCAAGCAAACAAACAAACAAACAAAAACAAACACACAAGGTTGGGGGTCGCAAAAAACTGGGTCCCTGCCCTCCTTTCGTTGCGTGCAGAGCGTCCGTCAGCAGGTACATGGTGAGAAGTGTTGCCGCTGTCACTGCTGCCCAAAGGGCCACTTCTTTACCTCCGAAACCGTTGGCTCGTCAACAAATTTCGAGGCTCGGTATTTAAGCGCTTTGGTGGCTTCAAAAACCGAAAGGAAACCAACCATTTTTGGAGGACCCTTAAAAAGACACACCCAAATGCGGAAACGGAGTTCACACCCCTGAAGGGACCCCCCCTTGATAGGGAGAGACCGGGCCAAACAAATGATGTCTCAAAATGGGACCCCAAACAGGATGGTGTTCATGTTGGTGTCTTTTTCAACCAACCCAAAATAGGGCAAACAAAAACTCCAAAAAGCACACAGCTTGGCTGGAATTAGGACCCCAGCAAAAAATACTTTCTTGCCTGGTTAGTGGAAAAAACAAATGGGACCCCAAAAAAGCAAAAAAAATCAAAGGGGAACGAATTCTGGGGGAAAAAAGTTGCCTGAAACTGCCCGGCAACCCTTCGGAATCAACCTCGCCAAAGAACGCAGCTTCGGGGAGGCCCGAGGGATCCAGTCGATTTGGGAAAGTGATGCCTAGAAGACATCTGGCTGTGAATCAAAACCATTTTGGATCGTTGGTAGGTGAATTCACCCATTTTAGAATCCATTTTAGTGGGGATTGAATCGGATGTTCACTGGGGGTACGGGGTTTTGACCAGCCATCTGAGTCATACTCAAACCCTGGTACCCAAAACATCTGAAGAGTTAGCAAGGTGGATATCCGCACCTATCTATGGTTGGGGCTGTCCCGTGCTAGCCTTCGTCCTGGGTTTTGATCGTGGCGCAGCTGGGTGTTTCCTTGGGGTATTATCTTCATCGAATATTGAGAGGGTCAAGCGGAAAGCATTTGTGTCGACGCCGGTTTTGAGTTGCAGTGCTTTGTGGCAAGAAGCGCAGGTTAGTTGGAAGGAAATGCTTTCGTGAGCAGCTCCGGTCCAGCTCTGTCATGCACCTGCGTACCCTGGAGCGCCAAATAATTTTTGCCGCTTGCCTCCCCTTTCCAAACAGGATTGGTGCTGGAACTCCAAATAAGCCCAGGTGGTGTTCCCCACAGCCCCGGCAATTGTTGGAACCGTCCGGAACCCTCAGACCTTCAAAATGTCTTCGACTTCTTTTGGGGATTTCCCTTTATCACCAAAAAGGCGTACGGTGCCAACTCCAAGAAGACAGACCCAATTTCTCTCCCAAGTCCTGGGAGTGTCCGTGAGTCCTGAAGTCACGCCCAGCGGCTGGCGGGTGGCCCCTTCTGCATCCTCGTCTTCGCCATGCCGCTCATCCCAAGTGCGAGGGAGGCCACAGCCACCGCCCAACCCAGTTGAACGAACGAACAATTCCCGGCGCAAAGGATTCTACGCGGTTGTTGGCCAATCATGGTGGCGCTCATACAAATTGAAGTGGAGTGAAAATGTGCTTGTTGATAGTCTTAAGAGTTTGCTGCTGACGGTTGACATGTCCGGAGGGAGCATGGTCTGCACTTGACACAGAACGCTCGCCGGCATCTCACGTGAGCGTGTTGACCCCTTGAACCCCTTGGCTGTTGGTTCTTCGACGATGGTTCGAGCTTGGCCCAACTATGAAAAACACAGCAAACAATATGTTCTCATTGTTGCATACTTACTCAACCCAAACCCAACATTTGGTCTGAGAGCCCAAGATTTATGTCGCCCCGCCCCCCCCCCCCCCTGCACCAATAGAACCCGTGGCAATTCGTTGAAGGAACGGGGCGTGGGGACCTTTCTGGAGCTCAACCGAAGTAAAGTTGCAGTCAGGTTGCGCCCAGATCCCAAAGGCAACCTGTGACCGCCATGCTCCTTTTGGATTTGAAAGGCTTGAGCCCTAGAAAACCCACTGGGGAATTGGCACTGGGATGATTGGCTGAAATCCAAGGGTGATAAAACTTACTTGTTTTATTGTCTTCCCAGATCAATCCTTAATTTCATGGTCATGGTCTCCCTAGGTCAATCCTTCTGGTCTCACATCACGGAAGGGACCCATGACCGCATCCACCACACGTGAAAGGGTGGTGTTTGACCATGGTGCCATGCTGACCGCAGCTGCCAAGTCCATCCAAGTCCGACTACGCCGAAAACTTCGCTGGATGCAACTGTGCTTTGTTCGGAGTTGCCCCGAAGGGCGTGGCAGGTTGCCCTACGTTCCCCAACCCTGATATAATGTGTATATATATATAGGTATGTGTCAAAATTGGGGACCCCTAAAGACGTTCATTGTGGTGTTCCTTCCAGCCAGGTGAAAAGGAGGGTGTGCTCAAAAAAACTCAAAACCGTTTGTATGCGTATATATATATATATATATCCAGTTGAACTTTTTGGGCCTTGCCCAGGAGCATGGTGCCATCACGGCGGGCTTCCTTCTGGTTCCCCTTTAAGCAAAGGTGAAGAATCATGCATTTTTAATTAGTCCAACGGAGAACCGAACGAACCATTGCTTCCCCATTTCGCAACTCGCTGAGTTGACTGGCCAGTGGCAACATTGGCTTCTTGGCAGCAACAATTGTTGTTGTGCCCTCTGGAAGTGGACCAAAACCCGTTCAAGAGTCGTGGAAGACGACCCAATTCAGCGGACGATTGGGCAGATTCTTCTTCCGTTGCACACCAGGCAGAGATTCCTGGAAAAATTCTCCGCCAGGCCTTCCAATGGCATGCCATTTGTTCCCCATCGGTATAGGTTTCATCGCGGTTCCCCTGAAGACTACCTGAAAAAACTGGGTCCTTCACCCCAACCCCTCAAACCAATGACTGCCAGCACCCAAGAAAGAAAGGCCGCGACAGAAAAACACATCACCACCAGATAGGTCGACACCCTCCAAAACCTCCAATCGCTTGCGAGAATGACCTGGACGCTTTCACATCGTGTTCCCACCAAAACAAGGATTTGCGTTGCAGTCACACCAGAAGCCACACAAAGAGCACGCAAGACACACCAAACATATTGGCGACCTTTAGACTTTCTCCGAATTTCCTTAAGGCCGAATAGGACCTGCTGGAAATAAAGGATGTAAAATCGACAAAACGTCCTTTGCAAGGAAGCAATGCGATTCAAAAAGCGTGTTGGCTTGGTTTGTCGTATATGTGTCTTTCTTGGAGGGTACCCCTTGTGTGGCGGCGTTAAAGGGAAGCCACCATTCCTGTGGGGTCCCCTAAAATAAGACACAGCCGTACTGATGGACGACACCCACCCGCCGGGGTCATTTCCCAGCCGACAGGGCGGTTTGACGCAGTGGAGAGCCTAAAGAACTAGAGCAGGTTGGAGTCGTTTAAGCAAACTATCCCCAGGGAAGTTCATATGTGCTGCACCCCAAATATATATATATATATATATATGATTTGGTTTGGAGACCCCAGTGAAAAGCTCAACACCTGGTTTGTCTCAAAACGATTTGTGTTGTACTATGTCCAAAACCTGAAAGAAGGGATAATCTTGGCCGTGGCTTGAGCCTTGAGCCTCGTTTTAGCCCCGGATCGGTTTTCGCTCGCCGTCTATGCAGAAACTATCCCTTCACAGGGGGTTGACCCTCGAATCGGACGTCTGGCATGCATTCAACTAGGTTGCAAGGGGGCACAACTCAGCGCTGGTGTCAATGCCTTTTTAAGGGAGCCTTCGGGAGCCGATAAGTTCTGGATAGGGACATGTGGAAAAACGTCATCCACTACTTCCATGTGGTTAAGGCCCCAGGAAAAAATAAACATATCTCCAGTAGTGATGAACTCCTTTTAAAACCAACAAGGGAAAATACAAAATTATATTAAGCAAACGGAAGACTAAGACACTAAGTTAGACTAAGACCCTTTGGCAGCCTGATTCGTTGATCCGGTTTGCGAACTCGATTGATTGCGACGAACCATCGGCAACACGTTCTGTAGGCATGACTGGGCAGGCACAGTTGAAAACAAGGCCCATCTTTTCCAATTGACTGTACCCAAAATGGAAGCCCGGAAAATGGGAAGGACTAAAACCTGCGGTCCCCTGGCTCATTTTTCACCCGTGCCGTGTCAGTGGGGGTACATAATCTCCAGCTGTTGGTCAGTATTTAGTCTATCCTAAATATTGAAGTAATGTTGGTTGGCAAAAACATATCCAGACATCTGGCTGTCGAAAGCCCCTTTTGGTGGTTGACGACATTTTTACCAAGCAACCGAGCTTAAGAGGAGCCGGTCTTACCATGGCACATATGCTTTGTTAGCCTCGCCTTCATAGGTCCTTCGTTGTGTGGAATTCACCCTCCTGGTGGGATAGAACCTGATGAGTTGATCACAAAGTTATTTGGTAAGTGCACTTTGGGATTACCACAAAAGCATTTGGCCGAACGAGCCCCGCAAAAAAAGTCATAGGTCTCCTTTTGGCAAAATAGATGGCACTGGCAAATGATTCGAAACTTCAACTAGTGTCAAAGCTGACCTTAAAAGGCCACCTGGGTATCAAAGATAAATCACCAAAAAACCGCAGGTTTTAGTCCATGTGTCCATTTACCGATGCAACCCATTTTGGGGTTACCCCAACTTTTGACAACCACGGCCACCCATGGCTTCAAAATCTGTGGGGTTTTGCCACTCGGTTCCCGGCACGAGGCCCGGCGCATGACTTGCGCCGAAGCTCTTCCGGAGCGCCTGCTTGAAGCACCAAAAACAATACCCGCGCTTCGGGCTGACTGCGGTTTTTTTTCCCGTTTTCTGTTTCTGGCTGCGACTGTTTTTCGGCTCCCAAGCTTGGCCTTGTGCGTGTTTGGGGAATGAGGTTCAAAACCTCCTAAGTGGGGGGGCTACACTGATTCTAAGCTTATTTTTACCCCAACACGGGTGGCCAGAGGGGGAAAGAAAGCACCCTAAGGTGTGGCTTCGGAATCCTGTTGGAAGGTTGGCTTTGGGAATTCACGGCTGCTTTGTTCAGGGTACCCCCCTTCCCCGTTGTTTGGGAGGTGCATACCTCGTTTTTAGGGGGATGGCTTCGAAAGCAATGTCAACAGCCTTCTGATGTCCATGGGACAAAGTAAAGAGTTCTTGCTGGGGGTCGCTTTGAGGGAGAAACTTAAAAACCGCCCCAATGCCGGCGCTTGCTAGTTTGAGACAAACCCTTTGCTGGTGGGTTTCTCGGGTGGTTGTGCTGGATCCACCACCCATAAAATCCTCCTTGAGAGAGTTGTCAAAAACTGCTAAAATGGGTCACTCAAAACCTGGAAAACAAGGAGTCCACCCAGCACGGAGGAAAAAGGGATCTGAGAGCTGCACTTGTTGCTGGTGGGGATTTGATCGTGGTCCTCGAAGGTGATGTTAAAACTCATCAAGTCAAAGATGGGTGTGAAACTTGAGTGGTTGGACCCAACTGGTGGACATCAGAATTCAGTGGGTCCCGATTCATGTCCACCACTTGTGGTTGGTGGCTCCAACTACTATGAAAAGTGGAAATACTGGCACAAGAAAACGCCATCTGAACAGAACTAAACAAAGTTGATGCAAATCCCAAGGCCCCCTGCCCCGCCAAGTTCCATGTTCAGGGCCTCCGGAAACAAACAAAATCGGCCGTTCTGGCTCTTGCCTTGCAAGCCATCTGCATCAACCTTGACGTGGGGAGGCGGGGCTATCCGCTGTCCGTTTTGCTGGACTCCTGGTAGCTCCAGGCTCCCTCTTTGGCAGTCCGTTTTCGGATCTGCTACAATTGACTAGCTTTCAGTGGGTCAAATACGGAAACCCAACCTCTAAACCAACAAAACAAATCTAAAAGGCCAAGGAAAAGGACGGAAACCCAACCACTACACCAACTAGAACAAATCTAAAACGCCCAGTGGAACCGGAGCATTCCACCTGGCAGGCCGCCCAGGGCCCCAGTTTCAAGGGGCCGGGAAGGGGAATCCCCAGCTCCCTTTGGATCTCAGCGAATCGACTCGCGCGATCGTCGGCCTCCAGCATGGCGCCGTGGGCCGCCACGCAGTGCAAGGACACGGGCCTGCGGTCGACGCAGTGGCGATCTCCGGGGGGAAAAGGGAGCGGCGGCCGATGGTCTGTTTTTGTTTTTGCTGGGTGGACTTTCAAGGGGAACCCTCACCCAAAGAAACAAAATATTGCAAAAAGGGCACCATCGACTGGGCAACTGAGTCGAGGAAAAACTTGCGATCGGTGCACAAACCGATAGGCACTGCCTATCCTATTCGGCAGGGGCCCTGAGAGTTGTGGAGTCTGATTGCTGTCAGGTAACCCTTGCTTGGTGCTTTGGATTGGTGGCCCGGGGAATGAAAGGAAACCGCCGGTTGGGACGGCTCAAAGCGGGGTCATGGGATGTCTGTTGGCGTCGCGGGATGTCTCGACTTCTTGCGATAGGTAGGGCATGAGAAATGGAACCAAATCGGATGGATGGTTTTTCTTGGGCTCATTCCCTGGCGAAAAGCTTGCTGGTGCGTTCGATCGGGAGGAGCCCTGAGGGTGGAGTCTGATCCCAAAAAATATAAGGCAACCCTCAAGTGGTGGTTTGGGTTGGATTTGGAATTGAACCCCTGGCTTCCGCAGAGACAGGAAACCCCCTCCAAACCACCAATGGGAGGCTGAAAAAAAAAATCAAACGAGTGGCTTCTTTTATTCGGGCACCAAAGTGTGGTTCATTCCATTTCTCATTCCCTGAGCACCAGCAAGGAAAGAAAAAGTTTCTGTTGGCCAGGGGCCCAGTCCCCCACAACCGAAAAAGCAAGAAACAAACTCCTTTTAAACTGCTCACTTCCTGAACAGATTGGCCCGAAAAAGTAACACTTCTTGTTTACCAGTAAAATTGTCTACGCAAAAAGCTTAAAGTGCAGGGACTCAAGAACTGAGACCGCTTGTGCGAAATGGTCGTAGAGATTGAGGAAGGTCTATCTCAACACTCGAGTTGAATGGCATGGGGAAAAACACGTAAGCTGCTGCTGCTTTGAGCAGCCATACACGTCTTTGGAGAGAAGGGCGGTTCTTTGTCCTAACCCTTGGTATGGGCGACCTTCCCCATTTGGCTTCAAGCACCGGGGTTCAAATCCCTCTCCAAACCACCAGTTCAGGGGGGGAGCTGATCTTTGCTTGCTGTAGCGATCCCTCTGCAAGAAGCGTTAACAAACAAACATCTGGGTCCAATCCGGAAAATCCACAGAGCTTCAACCAACGAGGTAAAGTCCAAAGATCCGTTACCAAATGGCCATCAACTCTAAAGGCTGGTTCTTTACAACACTTGGTGTGGGCCACAGTTCTTTGCACCCCCACTACACCCCCCGGTAACGCACCACAGAATGGAAAACTCCAAAGCCCCTCAAACTGGTCGTTGATTTCAGTGGGAATGCCCCATAAACCCTCCATCCCCTCCAAACAACAAAGAACAAGCCCAAGGCGTGTCGATTTGCCTCTGGAGCTCCACGGCCAAGCTCAGCTGCCGTTCCATCACCTGGAACGACCGAAGGAGAGGAAGGAGAGGCGGCCAACGGGGAGCCGGGGAGGACAGGGGAGCCGGGGACCAAAGGCCCCAAGTGAACCTTGAAACCTGCGGTCTGGAGATCTCTCAAACGGGAGCCACACGGTGAGTCACAAGCAACACCGATCGGTATTGAAATGGTCCACCCAAATCCGTGTAAGAAAATGTCTGGCGGCCGCAACTATGTCTGGCTGGGAGCTCTTACTACCTTTCAATCAGCCCCCTTTGAACCCTCTGAAACCGAATCTCCTGATGAACCCTTAGCTGCCCCAAACCACTCATCGACCCCATAGCTTTCAGCTGGGCGAATAAGAGACAAAGCGACGACAAACATTCAGAAACGAAATAGGCCTTTCGAATAGTGATGGCATATGTTTGTGTTTGGGGGGGGGTGTTGTCAAAACTAGGGACTCCTTTTTGCAGCCCCTTTGACTAGGCCGCACAAGCCGCGGTCCGCAAAGGGGGCCATAGTTTAAACCCCACGCTTGGCTTCCTGAAACTCTTCCGAAGGAGTGCCGCCATCGAACCATCCATCATGTCGGGGTTGATCGATATTGTGTTCAACCCCCAAATGACCATGGGTAACTGATCCCATGTGGTTGAAATATCATCTGAGTGGTTTTCCAACCAATGGTCATCCCATGTAAAGGACCTTTTGCTCAACCCCATGTGGGTGTTCCTGCAACCCAAACTTTGCCCCTTTGCGCTCTCGCCTCCTGCTGCACCTGCATCGGGATCTCCTGAAGGACATCGTGAGGCTTGGGCTGCCTTTTGGGCGTCGTTTTAAAAAGGGAACTTGGAAAATGAAGCATGTTTGGAGGAGACCACAGTGAAAGTGTTTTACACCCGGATACAGGTACATTACGGTTGCCTTTATGGGGGTAGGTACAGGGAATGAGTGAACCAAAATTGCGAAAGGCGCCATCTACCTTCACCCAGCTGCAAAGTGAAATGAACGGGACACCATCCATGGTTGTGGTTCAAGCCTGGTGGGAAGCAGAAATGAAGAGGTGACAAAATAAGGGAACCTCGTGGGCGCTTAAATATCACCGAATCAATGCGGTTCCGATCAGGGCCTGGTGGGGGGGGGGGGGGGGGCTGGTGGGGAGAAGGGGTCCCTCCAACCCAACGACACCCAATACCTCTGAGGGACTGCAGGACAGTGTCGGTAGGTGTTCATTTGGGGCGCTCTTAACGAAAACCATTGGTAATTATTTGGCCCCTTGCATTCCCCTTCAAATCTCTGAAATCACCGAGCCACACCAAACGGGTGTGGGGTGTGTAAGGGGACCGTTAACCCCAATAGCTTTTGGGGCTCCTTCTTCTTGCCACCATCCAGTCCGCACTCCCCCACCCCGGCGTGCGGATGCTCCAGCAGTAGCCTCCTGGCCGCTAAGCGGTCACATGGAAAGCCAGCCGTGGGGGTCCCCGAAAAAACACACGGTCACTCCCACACAGGTGTGCACCCAAAAGTAAAACCACCCTCTGCTTTCCTCTGGTTTTCTTTCTTGTGTGTTTGCTTTGTTTTGTTTTTCTGTTCGTTTCTTTTTTTTTGGGGGGGGGGGTTGGGGGGGGCAAATCCTTTATATAGAACAAGGGATACCTCTTTTTGTAAAGATTTCGGACCCGGGGAGGGGGCACCCCCCAATAGATTTCGGACCTGGGTGAGGGGTGTCACCAAGAGGAAGCCAACTATGGAGACCATGTTTTTGAGAAAAACCCATAATTTTTACTTTGATTCCACACCCGTTAGTGGACATCAGGAATACATGCGGATTTGTGCAACCACCAGCCACCAGCCGTTTTAGAAGGTCGGAGCCACTTGAGCTTCATCGCAGGGACAGCTCAAAGCTGCAGGAAACTATATAAGTAGCTTGTTGTGCCGCTCGCAACACACTGCAGGCCAGGTTTCACTAGTTGTTTTGAGAGGAAAGGGCCATGGTCTGCTTGTCCAACTGTGTTGAAAGGCTTGATAAGTACACGAAAGGCTCGTCAATTCACCTCAAAAAAGCAGGACACGGCAAGCCGGCCCGCTTCAACACTGCCTCAGGTACCCTCTTGGGGACAGTCAAATCGATTCGCACGCTTCCAATTCACATTGGCGCACCGACCCCTATGGCTCCTGTCAATTTCTCATGTCCAGCAAACTCGCCTAGAATTTCTCCTATTGCTTAAGGCCCCTGGACAAATAAAGGCATGTCCAGTAGTGATAAATTCCACATCAAACAAAACAATGGAAATAAACCACATTCTTCAGCAAATGGAAGATTGGGTCCACCCCCTAAGCCTCACCCCCTCAAGAATCACCTCCTAAGCACCTTTTCTCAATGCGGGCTGGCATTGACCCCCAAGACTTTCAGGGTGCCGAAGCTGTTTCTCTTTGGCCCAAGCGAAGCAACTCAACAAAAAAGCTGTCCACCGAATCTGCAAGACCAAGCAAAGCCAACAAAAACAAAGCAACACAAAAAACAGTCCACCGGATCCGCAAGACCAAAACCAAGAAAAACAAACCAGCCTCTCTGTCTCCCAGGGGCTCCTTTCCCGTCGCTTTTTGTCCCTCCGACCCCGCCTCAGCTCCGGCAGCCAAGGGCCCCCGTCGTCCCTGGCCCACCAGGGGTGGACCCCGAAGGACGGGACCAAAAAGTCCGGGAACTCGCGCGCCTTGGCCGAAGATTCAGCTCCGAACTCTTGGAGAAAGTTCGCCCAGCCCAAGTCCTGGGTGAATCACCCTTGCGGCTAGTCTGAAACTTTGTTCATGAGGCCCCTTTTTTACTCCTTCCGTTTCCCTTTCGAACCAATAAGGGCACCCTCAAACAAACGCCCGCCTCAAACAGACAGCCCCTGCCTCAAACAAAAGACATCCACCGCCCCCATTCAAACCCTCCCCCCCCCTTCCCCCCCGTTCCTTCCTTTCGGCCGCAGCACCAGCTGCTGCAACTGGTGCCAATCCTCCGGGCAGCAGCCGCACCCCGCGCCCGCCACCACCGCAGACTCCTGCGCCCGCTGCAGCGTCTCGCGCGCCGCGGCGGAGGCCAGGCGCTGGGGGTGGAAGTGCGCGTCGAAGAGACGCATCCTGAGGAGGGATCCCTACATGAGCCACACCTGAACATTGCCTCGTAAATGGTTTCCCTTTGTTTTGGCGTTGAAACAGCCATGTTTCCATTGGTTGCAAAATGTATCTTTTAAGGAGCCCTGCTGAGGAGGCACCCCAAATGTTCGGCACTTGCAGTTGGAGTCGTATCTCTCCAAATGGAAATAAAAACAACTCTCAAAAGGTGTTTGGTGCCATGGTTTTTCCAACGCCAGCGGTTGGATTCGGATTCGGTCCGCGAAAACTCTATGCCTCAAACAAGCACCTTGGAGTGGCTCGTCTTTTTTTGAGTTGGTACCGTGTTGTTCGGGTTTTGAGGGAAACCCAAAGGACAACCACCATTATATGGGGCCTGAAACCTACGCTCGTCTGTTTTTGAGGTACCCTTTTCGGGGTGTGTGTAAAGGGGAACCAAAGGAAACCACTCATGTTTAGGTTCCTTATTGTGAGACAATTCCACTTAAGTAAATAGGCAAGCATAGTTAGAAGTAAGACAACCAGCCAAACGGTTCCGACCCCCTAGAACAAATTGCCTCTTTTTGCTGGTTCAAATGGAAAAACGTGAAAACCAAAGGGCGCAAGGATGGACAAATATGGGTGTGTCTTTTTTTAACGCTATCCGGCTGTTTGTTGGAAACCAACATGAAAACCACCCTTTTGAGCCCCCCCCTAAACAGAAGACAAGCCACCCATATGACAAGCTTTCGGCTTCCCTTCGGCCCTAACCCAACACCCCCAAGCCAATGGATTCGGATTCGGGAGCCGCGGCAACCAAAAAAAAGCGGGGTCTCAAAATAGGAAAACCACTTTGGGTGGCTCGTCTTTCTTGAGGGTACCCCGTTGTTCGTGGTTTTAAAAGGGAAACCAAATGCAAAACCATATTTGTTCATTATTATTTTTCACCAACAGCTGAAAGCTTTGGGGTCTCAGCCCAGATAGGCTCCGAAATGTTTCCATGGCGGCCCTGAGGTAAGGTTCCACGAGGGTTCCACCAGGGTTCCACCAGGGTTCCACGAAGGTTCCACGAAGGTACTACGAGTTCTGCGAGGGCTGCGGGCTGGCGCGAGCACTAAAAAGAGCTCCGCATGCTGTTGGGGATATCACCTGAGCTTCTTCTTGTTGGGCTCCCGAAGGCACACCCCCCCTCCCCAAAGAAAAGTCAGACATGCGCCATCCCAAACACTCGCGATGTCTGAGTTTCTGAGTTTAGAGGACCGGGCCCCGAGAATGGTGTCCAGAGGGGGGCATCCTCAAAAAGACGCACTCCTCCGCATTTTAAGGTTCCCTTTTTGGGGCTGGTGAGAGAAAGGGAAGGGAAAACCCACATTTCGACGCCCACGGGGCCGCGAGCTCCTTGAATGTGTCGCCCGGTCTGCCCCATTCGCACTGTGATGCCATACACTCAGCTCCTCTTTCGGAGCTTCAGCCCCGCTCCGAGAGGAACCAAACCCTCGCACTTGACGGTTGCTCCCTACCAAGTGGCTTCAAAGCATGCTGAGACAAGCCAATGCGCAAGTCAGCACAGATTGACATGGAACCCAAAAAACCCCTCACTTGTAGAGAAGCTTCCTTTTGGGGCGCCCGGAACTTTTCCGGGATCCCACGCTTAGAGGGCGCGCAACCGTTGCCCGGTTGCCCCGACCCAGGTCAAAAAAGAGAGGATGCATTTGCTTGCTGGTTGATCTCATCCTCAGTGGGCAAACTGAAAAAAGGGGAAACCGAAACAAGGGAACACCACACAAGGTAAACGGGAGAGAAAGAACAACCACAAAAGAGCGCTGTTTGAAGGAAAGTGCAATTATTGGTGGCATACTCTCGAAACAAGAACGGAAGAAAACGTGAACAACTGGAAGACCTCTTGTGTTCCTTCCAAACTCCCCATGTCACTCATGTGGTTCCTTTAGGGTCACTATTTGAGAAGGGTGGGAGTGTATCAAAGAGGACACCTCCTGTTTTCAAAGGGTCACAAGGGAAGCCCAAACGCCATTTTCTGGGACCGCTATCTTGAGAAGCCCCCAAGGGTGTAACCCACTGAACCACCAGAGCCTTCGCATGCGAGGCACTGACAAAGCTCAAGTGGCAGCAGGGCCGCCGCTAGGCGCCATGGCATTCGCTCAGTTCACTTTGGGTGACGAATCGATCTAGTCAGGGAGAAAATAAATTGGCAAGTGTCAAGGGGTGTCAAGGCTATGTTGCCCCCCTTACCAAATATGAAGCCCCTAGGGCCCCTAGTTGTCAATTGGGGGGGGGGGGGGGCCTTGGAAAAAAACTCCCACTCAAAAGGTCTTATGTGGGTCGTTAATCTTCAGGCAAAACCCTTGTTGGGTTTGATCACTCAAAGGCACGGGAGGAAAAAGACACCCGGCTAAAACGGAGACACCTATTTGTTCACTGGTGGGAGTTGATTGATCTGGTGTTTAGTCAAAATTGTTTGCCTGACAGCCAGAATCTGGCTCGCAGGCACATTTCTTCGGTGGAACAAGCCAGGGTTTGGTTTGAACAAGTTGAATGTGCGGAAGCATCAGTGGAGAAAATACGATCGGTCTTGTCAAAGGTAAAGCACGTTCCTTCTTTGCTGATTGTTCGGGAAAACAGTCCGAAATATCAAACTCGCCTATGAAATGGGCTTGCTCTTATTTTACGGTACCCTTGCTGGGGGGTTGTGTTCAAGGAAAATCAAGAGAAACAAGTTTGTAGGCTATTGCCAAATCCCACTGACAAGGTGGCGCCTTTGTAGTGCGCAGCAATCAACCAAGCTGAAATTTGCCATGGCTTTGAGGTGACACCAGCTTGCTTCGTCGCGAGCATTTGATCAAAACTCTGTTAAGGTGTGCGGCAAAGCCAGAAGGCTCGGGCGAGGAATCCCAAGGCCTTGCCACTCAGTCCGGCTGAGCTTACCCGCACGGCTGTAGACATTGGGAAGTTATGGGGCTCATCCCACGGAAGCTTTTGGTTGAAACTGAGAAACGACATATGCTCGTGCCTGGAAACAAGACCATGAATGATTGATTCCGACGAAAACCTAGCATTGGCGAAGATCAAATGGCTGCCGCTGTCAGGACAAAAGGAAGCACAACAAGTCACAACAAGATTATTTACCCAAAAAGAACACATTTTTCGATCAAAGGTCTGTGTACTTCCATGTCTGGTAGGGGTACTGGGAAACAATCATGAAACCCAGAAGATGCAATGCGGCACTTGCTGCCTCGGCTATCCAGAATACTACCCTACAGTCACGGAACCCCCCAATCAATGTTATAGGAACCTCCTTTTGCAGGGACCCCCCTTTTTGGAATTTCATGTCAACCTGCAGAGTAGATGGCTCACGACACCAAGGTGCCAGCCCCAAGCAGGGCCAACCTTCTGTAGGGTTGCCCATAGACAAATAAGCCACCTATATTATGGAAGCCTTCAGGGCCCGTGTGAGTTGAGAGAATAGCTTAGGCTCCCTAAACCCGAAGGAACCCGAAGGTTTCAGGAGCCCCAAACAACCCCTCACGAAGCCCAAACACCCAAGAAACACCTGACAATCCCAGCAGGACAGCGTGCCCCAGAACATTCTGTACCCATAAGTAGACAAACAAGAAAGTGTGGGCTACCCAAAAAAAAGACCCCCGGGCCACTCAGTTGCAACCTGCCGGCATATAGAGCCGGGCAGTGGCCGCAGTGGGCGCACTGTGTCAGGGAGACCTTTAGGAACTTGCCGTCGACACCTCGGATCGAATCGATCCGATCCGCGCCGCGCTCGATCGATGGCTTGGCCGCCAAAAAAAACGCAAACTTTCGGAGCCGTTGGAAGACGGTCGTCTCGTCGGTGGGGACAAAAAACGCCAAACCAAGGGTGGCGCAAGTCTACTGTTTTTTGGGGGGAACCCCTGATCCCAGTCCGGAATAGAGAGAAAAAGGAACTGGCAAAAGGCTCTTGGGTTGGGTCTTGAAGTTTCGAACCCAAGACAAAACCTTCGTTGGACAAACCCGGCGTTGGCAGAACCTTTCCTTGGCCCGGGAGAGAGATGTAAAAGGAATGTTGCACTCCGGAGAGCACCTGAAAGTGTCAATGAATCACTCACTCACTTGCCCAAAGGACGCAGAATTAACAGGTTAATTGCTTGAAACCTTTACAAAAAGTGGACCAAAAGGGGAAACCCAAAAGGTTACAAGGAAAGTTGTGAACAACTGAGATCACGCAAGCCTCTCCTCAAATTGGCTACTGAAGTTGGCTGCAGGAAGGTGTCGCTAAACAAAGCCAATCATGCGAATCCTGCCGCTGCGCTTGTCCGGACATCAAGCCAAGTGTCCCGCAACCCTGAAAGCTCAAACAACAACCAAATCCAATCTGGACCAAGCCTGAAATCGGTGAAGCCTCAGTGACTCACCTGGAATTTCGCTTTAGCCCACCACTATGAGCCACTCACGGCCGACCCTTAGCGCAGCCGAGATGCCGAAGCCATTCATCATATTCGAGGCCTGGACCAATCAGTGTTGTGCTTCTTGGATGGGTGCCCTTTTTTGGGGCGGCTAAGGAATTTCAAAAGGAAACCCACCCTTTTTTCGGGGCTCCAAACCCCAATTTGGGCTCTCACGATCCAGGCGCCCATCAGACTCACATGAAGTCTGCCCGCAAAAATCACCCGGAAGACAACCAAACAAAAGGCCACGTGAGGCGTTTCGCCACAAATCGGTTCATCCCCGTTCCAACCCCGTCTCGGCGAGCAAACCGACAGCGGAATCCTGTGTCATGGAACCTCAAGGCTGCTTTTGGGCGCTCGCTCTTTGCATGGCCCCGCGACAAGAACACACACAGCACCAACCAAGGTGCAAAAGGGTGCCGTAGTCTTTGGTCGGTTTCAAGGGGATTCAAAAGGGAAACCGAAGCCATTTGGATCCCAGCCGGGCTTTACCTCAAAATTGGATGGTTTACCCTTTAACAACCAAGTAAGTTACCTCCAAATTCTGCGAAAACATTGGCAGTTGGCCATGCCGCGGTGCCCGCAACACTCAGGAAGATGCGAACCTTCCATTTGCGAATACGTCCCATGGAGAAAAAAAACGTGATTCATTCCCTTGTAAAACAAAACAGGGGAAAGTAACGCATATTCAGTTCAGCAAATGGAAGGAAGTTATTAACGAATGTTCTGCGCGAAAAAAAAATGATAAGGATCACATCCTGACGTGCGAAACTTGCTACACATTCACGAGGGAAGCGCTATCTGATCAAAGCACGCCACTCCAAATGAGCTTTTGCTGGACATTGCGAAGACATGGTTCGCCTTATGTCCACCAAGCACTTACAAGTTCTCAGCCATTTAAAGCCACGGCTCGAAAAATCACTGGAGCGTTCAGTTTGCGCGAGCGCGCATGCGCAAATCCATAATGCGCCCGAGCAAGTCGCATCAAGCAAAAATCGCATCTTACCCTAAAAATCGCGACTTTTGGGCCCTAAGGGGGTTGTCTTTCAGGGCCCTTGAGAGGTCAGGGTTCGCCATTGGAGGGCCCAAAAGTGCGCATTGGGGGCATGACTCAGCCTTCAAGTAATTCAGGGGAATTGCAGTCAGATCCGGGTGCTGCTCAAACTCCCGTGCCAAACAAACGATGTTGCGATTTCCTTTTGGTCTCCCTTTTACACCAAGCCAAAAAGAAGGTAGCCACAAGAAGTGACCAGCCCATTGCCCTCAAAGCACAGCCCTCACTTCCAGAGTGGATGGGCTAACAAAACAAAAAGACCGACTGGTTCGTCGCGGCCGGCCTGCTCCGCAGCTTGCGAAGCAGCGTACCTCGTTCCGCGGAGCAAAGCACGGAAAGAAGGAGCAGTCCCCAAAATGGCTCCGCCATCATTTCCAAAGCCTCCGGTTTGCCCTAGATCTGAAAAAGATTGAGCCGCACCCAGTTGAGTGCTTGACACCAATCGATATCAAAATGGCCCTCCCGCCAAACCCACGAAGAATGAGGCTGGATCTCTGCACTCGGTTGGGAAACGGTCCCCCATGCCCGAATCGGTTTGAGCGAAAAACCGAAAAGGCGCGAGGTGTCCCTCGGCCACCCCGTGGCGCACGTGACAAAGCCGCAGCTTCGGGAGAAGCCGTTGGCGTCACGCTGGACGTGTGCCGCGGTGACCTGGGTGACTCTTCCTCTCAGGGCGGCTCGTCCTTTGGGGCCCTCCTTTTGGTGGCTTCGGGTTTGTCCCCTGTTTGGCTTTCCTTTTACCCAGTCCCCTCACCAAAAGACACCTCCAGATCGGCTCAGATTGGTGAAGGAACCCCTGGTTGAGGGGTCTTCTTTCCGGCTTGTGAATGTTAATTCACCACAACTCGCAAACCGGAAAGGATCCTCTTGGTAAGGGGACCCCTCGATCAGTGAGCTCGGGTCATTTTGCCCAGATTGAGGGGGTGATTTCACCAAATCCCGGAAAGCCAGGCAAGTAGGTGATTTCACAACGAGTGGGGCGAAGGGGCTTGGTTCCATAACGCTGAGCTACAGCCTGAACAAAGGACACGTCCGAAGGGGTGCAATGATCCACTCGAACCCGTGGACATCACAGAAACTTGCCATCTAGGCTGCCCGCGTTGGTGGGGTTGGTGTTGGGTTTCTGAACCATGCGAAATGGGGTCCCTCTTTGAGATGTGGTTGGACCCCTTCAGGAAACCCAAACGAAACCACTCACTGTGGGGAGGGGGAGGGGGCCTATTTTGACACAAACTCAGATTGATAGCCTGTCCAGTGGAAATAGCGCGCATCCCCAGCTGCTTTGAGAGCGCATTTTGCGTTGCTACATCTCCCTTCTTGGGCCTGTTTCAACGGAACCCGCCCATTCAGAGGCTGAGCGGTGTCAAAAACAGCTCCAAAATCACCTTCAGTGACTCCCAGAACAGCTCCAAAAGCCACCTCCTTGGATTCTGAGTGCGGCCCACGAATCGGAGGGGGGGCCCACCGGTGGGCCCCACCCCATAAACCCTGGCTTCCCTTCCAACTGGGCCAGGCGTTTCGCGAAAACCCCCAGGAAGCCGCCTGTCCGAACGGTGCGAAGAGCTGCATGAGGTCAGACTGGCGGCTCAAGTCGCCCCAAAAAACGCGCCGGCTCAGCGTTCGAAGTGGTGCGATGGCGAAGGACGGCGTTCCAAGGAACCGCTTAGGGAAAGACCCCA